GATGTCATGGAAATTGCTACCATACTAGTATAAAAGAAGACTACCATCACTGCCATTCTCATGTAAATTAAGTTGCTGACAATTTCTATGACTGATAAGCTTTATTTTCTTTTCAGTTAATGTTATTCGCTTCTGCCAGGATATATGCAGATGCAGGGGGAGTGAGGGAGGAGGGACAGGACAGAAAGGTGCTAGGCTTATTGGGCATTTATGAAAATGTTAGATGAATTAGGCCACTGCCTCTGAGTAACAATGCTACCTCATGGCTTCTGAAACTTTTCAGGCAAATAAATATAGAAATACAGGCAGAAACCACCACATTACGTATTTATGTTCAGATCACAGTCAGCTTTTGTCTACAAATGTACTAAAAGTCAACCGCGACTCAGTGGCACCAGGAAAGCAAGCTGAAGGGACAATATGTCATTGCCCTTCCACCATCTGACCAGCACGGATCTGAGTATTTCAGTAAATTGGTAGAGTACTCTAAACATAAATGTCAGAAGAAAATGAAGCAATGCTTCTACATAATTGATTAAAGATTTTGCGGGAGCAGTCGGATTTCCAGGGGTGAACAGAACTGCATAGCTCCCCTATGCAATAGTGTCAGCCATCAGTGTACAAACACCTGCAGGGAAAGAGATCAATGACTTTTAAAAGCAGTTTTCTGCAAACTGGGCTACTTATCTCTTTATGGGTATGCAGAAAGCAGACAGTAGACAAGCATAGTAGGAACTGAAATAGGAATTAACAGTTATTCCTGAAACACCAACACAAGGGTCAGGAACAAATAGGGAAACAAAATGTTTACAGCAAGCATCAAATTGAACCTTGGCCTTTGGGAAAGAATACCCAGGATGCATCGGTGGGAAGGATTCAATGATCTAAATCAGTGGTTCTTAAACCGTTTGACCCAGTTACCCCTTTTCCCAATCTTGAATAATGTCATTACCTCCACAAACCGCACCGCCAGACTGTTGTTTTACCCAAGCAGTGGCTGTCCCAAACTGGAACCTTCACTTACAAACAAGCAATTACAAATGGCTCCATTCCCCCCAGGATATGTCCACATTGCCCCAGTTTAAGAACTACTACTCTAAATTAATAAGAATAAAGACACTTTGCTAGAAAAGCTTTGGATTTTCTGCCCACTGTATGTATGTATCTACAATAAACATAATCGGCTTTGAAAGCCAGATGTAGCTATTCTATGTTATCAGCCTTTTACTGGTCATACTTCTGAACGCCGCATGGAACAATTCCATTATTTTCATCTGGTGCTCTCTCAATTAGAGGCAGTGTTTGTAACATGGACATTTCAGAAAAGTCAGGAGACATTCTCCAAATACCAGGCTTAGTTCACAGATTAGCATAGCGTACAGTAGCATACAAGGAAGCAGCCAAGTCAGTCAACCCAGCACACAAACCAACAACAGACAAAAGGAATAATACAGAAGATTCTGTGTTGCAAGAAATTTTACACAAACTCCGTGCCACTTCCAGCCCGTCACTAACATGAAGCCTCCAGAGAGCTCTCAATTCATCAACTCCGTTCCAAGACATCAATAAACACTGTACAGTAATGGAACCATTGCCTCATGTGCCAGGAATTTGGCATATAAACTAAAGAAAATGTAGAGAAACCATAGAAACTGGGATCAGCCCTTTAACATTTCATCTCCTCTTTACTGTCAACCGCACACTGGTCAAATATGTGCAATAACAGATGCCTGAATCCACAATGCACACGTACGTACAGTAGAAAATTCTGCTGTGTGAAGAGATTATCTGGATTGGACTGGCCTTTCATATGAATGGGAAAAAATGGGATGGCACGCTCAAGGCAAACTTCACTGCTTGTGACTAGCGTGCTGTTGAAATAGGAATGCCATTCGTTTGCTAAAGCAGGGTGTGGTGGTAAAAAGTATGCCCCCAAACACACGTGAGCTGCGTTCTCAACCAAACCTCTGAGATGCCCCCTTTCCGTACATACGAACTGCTGAAAGTGCCCTTGTAAGGAAACATTCACAGCAAGCTGAGTTAACCCTGAGGGGTAACGGGGGGACAATCAGGCAGGAACCTGTGGACCAGTAAACCAAACTGTTTCTATTCACCGACCATATCTCAGAGATAATCTGGCCAGCAGGCTGACCTAGTAGGAAGGCATAAATAATAATAAGGTCTCATGGATAGGTTTATGTAAAATATTCCAGCATCGCACTGTAATTTTCACAGTGTCTGCCTTTTTCCTTCGTCTTGCCTTTGCAATGTCATAGGCCAAAGGCATATTCTGTAAGCTCTGGTTCTGCTTTTGCCCATGGCTGTTCAGCAAAGTGCAAAGCGTTGCTGGGAGCCCAGTATACTGTATTATTGACTGCATGCAAATAAAAGTATGTTGTTTCTTCGAAGTAATTTGGTTGCTTTAGGTGAGCCAGGATTTGGCCACAACAAGGGACAGTCATTCTCTCTGCAGGGGGGAAAAGAATCCCATTTTCCATTACAAACCCTAGGTTCTGAAGAATCCAAAATTTGCCTGCACAGAGCTCATTTTAAGCCATGCATCACCCATTCACAAAGGAAAGTTCATAGCAATTGCTTTTCTATAGGAAAGAGAGAAAGAGAGGAAGAAGAGGGTGGGAAGGGGAACCCAATGAAGATAAACCAACCTTTGGAATATTTTATTCAGTTGAATGTACACACCGTATTCCCCCCACCCAGCCCCCTGCTTAGCAACAACCAACCTGAAGCACTGCATAGGAAAATCAATCATTACACTGATTAGCACAATTACAAATTATTTCTGATATTTTTTTTTTCTTGCGGGCAGACAGCAGCAAACCCAATACAACCTTATACAATAAATTACTTGCTGCTCTGTAATTCCTCTGGGGTCTTCATTTTGTCCCCATCTTTGATGATTCATTAAGTGTTCACTGTTTCCAGCTGTTATCAAAATTCTGGCATTTGGATGTACTTAGTTTCTTACCATGACTCACAAAGAAAGACAAATTTCATGCTTTAAATCTACCACAAGAGGGTGATCATGTACAATTCCCTATATGTCACAGAAACTTTCTGGAGAGTCGCTCTGACTTTGATGAGCACCTGCTACAACTAAGTTACATGTCATTTTTATGTACAGGGAAAGAAGAAGACCACATCTTCTTCCCAGAAGAAGACCACAAGAGGAAATTAGACCAGCTCTTTCTAACCATCATGCTCCAGAAATGGGTATCTGGACGCAGGAAACTGGAGATTAGATGTAACTATCATGAATAGCAGACATTAACAGTTTTACTCTCTTGCTTTGTTTAAAATTTGATTTGTATGTGGAGCTTAACATGGCTAATCCATACCTTTTTATTTTCATTTGCAGATGCTGTTGTATGATTGGCCAGAGATTATTTTTATACATAAAGTTCAAAAAAAGATAATTTCAGTACAAAATCTGCTCTGAGGTTAAATATGCTTCAAAAACAAATCGTAAACAGTGCTTTAGAACACCCAAGAACAAAAGCACAGCAATTTTTTAAAACAGCTGCATCTGTTCGGGCTCACACAGAAGCCTGAAAAAAGACATAATGGCTTTAAAAAGATGCTATCCTTGAGTGCCTGTGCCTTCTGAAGCACCTCTTCCAAATTATTTTTGAAGTATACACAGCCCTAATATAAAATAAAATCTTTTACTATGATCACTGACTAGCATTTTGTACAATTTCATATCAAAGATTATAAAACACAAAGAGATTAAGAAAAAGGAAAACAATACTAAATGAGTACATTAAAATGCAAACAAAACAGTCTTAAAATAATAGGAATACAGAGATTATAATGCTAAAAAAAAGGAAAGAGTTAAAATACTAGTATCGCCAATAAACTACAAATGCACTTACTTAACTACAAAAACACTGAGCTACTAAAATGCTAATCTGTTAGAATACCATAAAAGTAATGCTAGAAATCATTAATCTCTCAATCATTTTTATGGCAATCCATGGAAATTTTATAAAATCAGTAACAATCCAATAAAAGAAAACAGGCTCCATTTTCCTACAGTTTATATTCTTTCATACAACAGGGGCATATCATCAGATCCCAGATCCTAGACAATATATGGATAATAATAATGTAGTCTTTAAGAATAGGAACAGCAAAGATGGATTAGGGATTCCTGGTTGAACAATAGTGTATTGGAGGTGGGACTAAGTACTTGAAATGGGTTCACCCCCAACTCTTCACCCCTCTTCCTCTCTGTGATGTGTTTTCACGTTCAGGTTTGGATTTACAAGCCCAAATCTAAACAATGGATCCAGGTAGGACAATCACATTTTCTCTCTTAAGCCAAACTGTAGTAGTATTTATGCCTGAAAAAGTAAGTAGTGTGGACCAAATGGTTTGGAGGAAAAAAGGCCATCAAAATGGAAGAGAAAAGGAATTCCTTTTGCATACACCATGTCACTGAAACATGAAATTCACGATCACAAGATGTGGCAGTAACTGCCGTGAGTGGTTCTGGAAAGGATGAGGCAAATTCATTGAAGATAATGATTATTAGACATGATGACTGAATATTAGCTTGAATATTAATGGAAACAAGCCTCTTATCAGTTGCTGCAGAAAACAATAAGGAAGATACTATTGCATTCAGGCTCTGTGCTCTGGCCTTGCAAGAACTGAGTGCTCACCGTCCAACATCGTTCTTTTTACACTACATGTAACTGGCTTGCGATGGCCTTCTTCCGAGATGTTTTGCTAGTGCCTGGTCTAGCCAACAGTTATGGGCAGCCCCAGTCTCCCATCCAAATGCTAATCAGGCCTGGTCCTGCTCAGTGTCTGAGCTCAAATTCAGCCAGGTAATTCCACCTGCTCAAAGCATATTCTAGCTTCGTGACATTTGGATTTTCCTATATTTTATGTAGTGTATCACGTAGTATATCCACTCTCTACTGCAACCCACCCACAGGCCTACACGTTAGGTAATGTGATTTAAGGGGTCTTACAATTTTCAGGTGAGATAAAAGCCTCATGACATCTGCCATGTCGGCCAGGATGAGCAAGCGAGTGACAGCAGAAAGCAGAGCTCGAGCTGCTCGGACCATGGTGCCTCTCTTGACTGAGGAGCAAGGATCGTCAGCAAATTCTGATGAAGCGATTCTCATGGTTTCCCCTGGAAGATGATTAAAAACAAGCACAGATTAGAGCAACTGGTTAGAAAGACTATCTTAATAGCTATCCTGGAATTTCCATTTGACTTCAAGTAGACAGTGTGCTATATTTTATGGTGTTATTAAATTAAATGTCAACTGAAGTTTGTACAATGGGGCTTTACGAATCATAAGAACACTGATACAGCTGAATTTAAACTTATGGTGACATTAAAAGCAGACTCTAATAATGTTCTGAATTTATAGGAGGGATCAATGATTAATGGCATTTTTTTTCCATGCCCTACACAGAAGCTTTGAAGAGAGTGAGTTGTATTTTTAAAATAATTTTACTCTTGCAATTTTCAGAGACGTTTAAACTCCATGTAAATTTCTAGAAATGCACAATTAGTCCTTGGAATATACAATGGCATTTGAAACTTAGAAGTACAACCAAGGAAAAGTCTTTCCCTTGACACCCCATTTTAAATCTAATTACAGGTAGTCCTCGACTTACGACCATTTGTTCAGTAACTGAAGTTACAACAATGCTGAATGAAGGGACTTACAACTGGCATCCAAAGTTACACCTGTTGCAGTGCCCCCATGGTCACATGAACAAAATATGGACACTTGGCAGCCCGCCCGCACTTATAACTGCAAGGGCACTTCAACTCCAATTGCAGGGGCGCTTCAACTCTTCAGCTGAAGGGGTATGGCAAGGCCTGTGGAGCACAGGAAGGCAGGGTGGTTGGTGCTTTGCGATGTGGCGTGGGATGGCTGGCAATGGTGCAGGGCTCGAGGAAGCACTCCTCAGCAGTGGTGCTGGCTGAGCTGGGCCTGAAGTAGAAACCTGAGGGTGGTGGCAGCTGGCTGAGACTGCTGAAGGCCTCGGGCCTCTAATTAAGTCCCAGCACTGCTGCTGCTGCTGAGGAACGCCACTGTACAGGGCATCCAAAGGGGCAGAGATGGGGGGAGATAGGCAGGTGGGGGGAGTTGAAGCAAAGGTAAGCATGGCAAGGCAGGAGAAACATGAGGTACTCACCTAATAATGGCACTATCCTGGCCTAACAACCGCAACTGGGACTACTGGATCTGCCATTGCTAAGTGGTGCGGTCATGTGATATTTTGCCTAATGACTGCATTGCTTAGTGATGGAAGTTCCAGTCCCAACTGTAGTCGTAAATTGAGGACTACCTGTATTTGAATCTAATAATCTGAACAGCCCACAGCACAATCCAAATCAATCTAAAAGAGTTCCCCTATTTTGCTTTTCTCATTCTTTCCAATTCTTAACAGAAGCTGTACTGTTGTTGCTTTATATCTATTCAACATATAATTTGGGGAACAGAAAATAAAAATGGTTAAATATTAAACATTATAAAATATTAACAAGCATTAATTTGCAATTAAGCAGAGGAAATTCTGAATTAAATAAATTATTCAAATATATTCTGTTCTCTCTTAAAAAAAAGCTGATTTATTCTAGTAGCAAAACATTGAAGGAAGACACCACAATCCTCTTAATAAATGTGTTAGTCAGAAAAGGTGCCACCAGGCCCCTTCCAGTGACAAGAGAATATATTCCAAGCTAGAGTACAGAATCTTATAATCACAGAATTGGAGGACCTCATTTAGGCTGTTGAGCCCACTTCCTTGCTCAGAGTGAGAATCCAAATGATTCTCTATAGAGTTACCTCTTTAACCTCCACTTGAACACATCCAATGAAGAGGAACCCATCACCTCTCTAGATAACTGATTCTATTCCAGAACTACTACTACTTGATTATGTGCCATCAAGTCAGTGCTGACTCTTAGCAACCACACAGATAGATTTTCTCCACGATAATCTTCCCCTAACCTGGTCCTTCAGGTCTTCCAACAGTGCACCCATCACCACTGTAAGTGAATCCATCCCCCTTGCTGCTGGTAATCCCCTTCTTCTCTTTCCTTCCAACTTCCCCAGCATTGCAGCCTTCTCAGAAGAGCTGGGTGTCCAAAGTAGGATAACCTGAATCTGATCATTTATGCCATGAGTGAGAATTCTGGGTTGATTTGTTTGATGATCCATTGCTTTGTCTTCTTAGCTGCCCACGGTATTCTCAGGACTCTTCTCCAGCATCAAAGTTCAAAAGCATCAATACTCTTCCTATGCAATTTCTTCAAAGTCCAAAGCTTTTATTATTAAGTCCCCCCCCCAAATATTCAATCTGAATATACCTTCCTCTATTTTAAATCCATAATTTTGTGTCCTATCCTCTGAAATTAGAGGGAATGTGCTTTCCAATTCTTGAAAAGTCCTATCATATTTATTTATTTTTATGTATTTATCATATTTATATAGCCGCCCATCTCACACAAGGGAGATAAGGCTATATTCCCCCTTACTTGCTTTTTCTCAAAGTTGAGTACCTCCAATCTTTGTGCATACAAACTTCATTTCTACTCTCTGGATCATCTTCACTGCCATTCTCTGATTTGGTTCCAATCTGAATGCTTAAAGTGAAATGCCCAGAACTGGACATAATACTAGATGGAGTCTGACCAAAACAGAACCAAGAGGAACATGTACTTTGCATGGTTTACAAATTATTGTTGATTCAGCCTAACATTGCATTTGCCTTCTTTGCAGTCGTATCACACTGCTGGCTCAAATTCAGTTTGCAATCATCCACTATTGCAAAAATGTATTATCTTGTCTAAATACTGGAATATTTCAAAAGCAAAAGACTCCCCTCCCCCAAAGAAATACTATGGAGTGCTTCAAACTACTGACTTTTTTTTTAATTTCAGAACTTCAAAGAACATCATTAACCTATAATTCTCAAAATAGTTTGCCAGCTTATCTTGCCAAATCTCATTCTGTTCTTCAGTCTATGAATACCTTATTTCCTGTGTTCATTGTTGTGGCTCCTTATATAGTGTTTGCCGGTTTCCTGTTTTAAGCACTAGCAGCTGGCTAATAACATTATCACACAGTTCATGGTTAAGACATGGAAAGAGTGACCAAAGATAGCAGATTTAGAAAGCAGCCAATCAACAGAAAAAAACATAACCTATAAAAGGCTGCTTCATTTAAGTGTGAACTTTTGATATAATGGAAGCTGATTTTGTAAAAGGAATGTGGTGCCTCAAAAAGAGATATGCCAACCTACTTCTTATTACTGCCTCCAAAGATAAGTACAGCAGGTGCCTTGCAAATGGACTGAAATAACATTGTGAATAAAAGGCATTATCAGGCTCCTAACAGCAGGATGGAATCAATACAGTATGGGGTAAAATCTATAACAAAAGGTGAGAAAGAAACTTCAGATGCATGCATCTGTGGAATACAAATGCTACAGACTTGTTTGGATCTGGAAGACTTCACCAGTTATAAAAAGAAGGCCCTTTAGGATCTCACACACACGCTTCACCTAAGTTCACTGCAAAGGAGAAGAAGGCAGGGCTGTGCAAGTAAAAGACTCCAAAGACTCCTCCCTCCCCGTTTCTCCCAAGAATAATTGAGACTCGGCAAACAATGGCAATCAGCATTTTAACTAGGGAAATTCGCCAAAGAGTAGTGCTCTGTTTTTCAGAGATCTGGCCAATCAGTATGGTATCTTCCAAGATAATCTGTTATAATCTTCCCTCGTCAAGTCTTTCCACACTCCCTGAGTGTGCAAACACTCCCTGACAACTGAACACACTCAGGTCTTATTGGGGTTCTTCTGGGGATCCTCTTTTAGAATGTATTTAACTTTTTAAAAAATGCTTGGGCTCCCATAGCCCTTCTTCTTTGTAGACATGGTGCTCCCTCTGATTACAAGGCCACTGGAATCAGAGGGAATGCTAAAGCAAGGCACATGCTTTAGCATTGGTGGGGAGGGCAAAGAATAGAAGCCCCTATTATTTCTTGTGCTATTTAAGCCTGCGATGGATAGAATCCATGATGTTCTTCTCCTGGCTCTTGTCCTACTCATTAATCCTCAGCAGAATTATTGACTGCCAGCATCATAAATACAAGGTATTACAGCAACGACAGGCAGCTTGCATCCCCCAAAGGTTCTGGCCCACATTCCCATTACTCCCGATCAACACTAAGTTACCTACTTCTATTCTGAGGAAGTGGAGAGGATACTCAGAGCTGTTACGTGGGCCCCGGTAAGTTAAATCCATTTCACCTTGGCTGCCCTCAAGGCCGTTCAGGAGATGAGTGTGGTTCAGTCCAAGTAATGATGAATTCATCCGTGGGTGAAGGGGGAGGTTCTTTTGTATATCCAGGAAAGCGTCCTTTTCCAAATCTTTACCTTGGACTGTCATTTGTAATTCCACTTTGGGTACTTCCTCTGTCTTGTCAGATAAAATTGGTTCCACACCTGTCATTCCTTCATTAACATCTTTTAGACATAAGCGGGCATCATTACTGACACTGTTGATTGTTACTAACTTCTGGCTCCGTTCTTCAAAGATCTCCTTTAATGTTTCCGATGTTGTAACGTTTTGTATCATTTTGTAAGTCCCAGTATTAACTGACATCAAGAACAGGCTTGCATTTTTTTTTTCTTCTTAGAATCTTTAGTCCCCTCTAGTGTCCACTTTATAAAAAACATCGCTTATCTTTGTTATGACTTGCAATAACCAGGATAACCAAAATAAGTCTGTTTCCCATGAAAAGCTGCTTATTTTTTATAGTTAATTGTGGAGTCCTTGGGGTTCTCTGAGCTTGGTTCTTTTCTTGC